GAACCACACGTGTCACGGGAGTTTCTCTGTCGAACGGGGCAAACCTTACACCAGGGTCCCATGATTGGCATTTTCAACCTTCCCAGTTGGCTTCTGACGAGCAAAATCAATGGGGAACCGCATGATTCACTTAACAACCATGGTGATTCACTTAACTGCTGCAAAAAATGTTGTAAAATCAGGTGCAGTCACATGATGTCTTGCTTAATGACCGCACCACTTAACGATTAATTTTCTGGTCCCTATTGTGGTTGTAAGTCAAGGACTACCTGTATTATGGTAGTTCACTCCAAAGGACTCTGAGTGGACATTTCACTATCAATCAATAATGGTGATGTTTCCATATCACCATAAGCCAGCATTAATTAACAGTTCTATTATAGCAATTCCTTTAATTATATCAAGGTCACAGAAAATGAGCTTTTTAAGTACAAAATAGGGTCTTGACATGAGCTGTGCATATGGGTAGATATGTGCAGGCAAAAGTAGTGATACTTCCATATGGAAATGTGTATCAACAGTATTTATTTTCCATCCTGAGGACTGGAGATCATCCCTTTTGAAGTAGTTCATGTCAGGAAACAGACACCACAAGGACTATTGGAATTCTACTTTTTTGGTGTAGAAGATAATTACAGAATCTTGAAACCCTGACATTTCCCTCTGGCCTCTGTTATACTAAAGAGAATCAAAGTGGGGTTATCTTGAATTTCTTTCTCATTCCTTCTTCCTTCCCAGGCTAAGTGGATGTTATCTAACTATTCTTGCATTCCTTTTTCAAGGTTAGCTTTATGCTCCTCTATACTGGATGAGCCTGGAAACTCAAATGCTGGGTCAAGGTTTGTCCCCTTTACTCATGCTAGGACTCTTGGACTTGAATGAACCCATGTTGCATGAAAATCACCCTTCCTCAATTTAAGTATCCTCTAGTTATGAGGACTTCAGCTTCCAGAATTCTCACCCATAGTTATGTTTTCTAAGAAATTCTGACAGCTGTAATCCACACATCCAGAGGTTGCTCAGATCTTGGAAGGTTGCTTTAGAATATCCTAGTCATGTCCAGCAGTCATGATCAGTCACAATCAGTGTTGCTATGTTAACTTTGCTCTGCTTCTTTTCATTCCCTGGCATAGAAAATCCAACTCGGGTCTTTTGGAGAAGGTCCTGTTGTTTATGTGCACCCTGCTAAGATAGATTTTGGCTGCATCCAGGTTTTAAAGGATGTTTCCAGGACACTTTGTCTTTCAAATCAGTCTGTTATTCCTGCACCATTTAAGGCACATATGGTAAGTAAATTTTGAAGCGGTTTCATATTGGGAACTAAAACTGAAAAGGGGTTGTTTGTTAACAGCTTGTGCCATGATTATATGAGAAGGCCTCCCATGAAATCATCTAGAGACACGCAGCACTTGGAGTAGTGGAGGTTCCATGAAGAGGTATAGATGAATATTTAGCAACTTAAATGAATAAGTAAAAAGAATACCCTAGCTGTAGCTGTCAGCCAGTGGCATCCAAGAAGTCTAGGAGAAGGTAGACAAGAGCTTGTCTGTCTTTTTCTTACAACTGAAGGTATCGTGAATATGTGCTTCTAATCAGTATATGTATAATCGTACAGCACATATATACACTCAACTCAATAGCTGCATTTGTATCACATACTTAATTTGATTACTGATTTAACCGTTTTTCTGGGTTTGTACAATATAGCAGCCATAACCCAACCAAAGAGGCTGGTTTTGCACAATATGCTAACCTCTCCACAGCAATGGATAGTGATGTCTGCTAATGTGATTTACAACTCTTTGGGGCAGGCCTTGACAAAAAACATTTTGCTGATAATTTCTAAGTGATTATATGAATATTGGATGTGAAGCTGGGATCTGACACTCACTTTCCCCTCCCATGAAATAGGAATAAGAAGGGGTTGAGAAGAAGAAAGAAAAGGACTATGGATCATTTTTCACATAATACAACATACTTCACACATAAGTTATGTGATGGTAGTACAACCAGTATCAGTCTTAGTCCACCATCTGACTAGATGTTCATGGATAATGTAGGTGAAATGCAGTTCTATTAGTTGTTCAAATAGCTGTTCGTTAGAAAAATACATTGTTGATATTTTATTTATTTATTTATTTATTTATTTATTTATACATACACTTATCCCCGCCCATCTCCCCGCAATGGGGGACTCTGGGCGGTTTACATCAAGTTAAAAC